TTATTATTATTATTATTATTATTATTATTATTATTATTATTATTATTTACATTTGGTCAATATTAATTTATTCCCAGAATAAACTTAAAAGAAATTATTTGCTTTCTTATCAAATGAAACATTTTTAATCACAAAAAGTATTACCTCAGTTTAATTAAGTCTTGTGTATTAGACAATTCTGAAGTCAAGGAGAAATTGAGAAGCCATAAAAAAAGAGAAATTCATCAAAAATCTATCCCTTCTAGAAGTTGAAAATTAATCTATTTATTCAATTTGTCTAGCCAATCATAAGACAAAATAAAAACAAACTGCCATCATGATACAAAAATTAAAATGCAAACTACAGGCTTTTGAAATTCCTCAATAAACGTATGAACAGGAGACAGCGGAGCTGGCGTCGTGACGATACGGCATGCGATCTTGGAGGTCTGAGATCGCTGCCGATATCTTTGCTCCTGGATGGTCCTATGGGATCTAAACCGTCCCAAAGAGATGGTGAAGGTGAAGAGCGCATCCTGTCGATCCCAGGGATACCGCAAAGTCCCTGGTAGATCCAGGAGAAGCTCTTCTTGCCAGCGGCAAAGAGGCAGCCATTAAAGCTGCTGAAGCTGGGACAGCTCCGAAACGGAAGAGAACAGAAAGAGAGAGTGTGCCGGTTTGGTGAGAACTTTTTTTTTATTCTAAGATCTGAAAGGACACCCTAAGGAAAAGAAAGAATCTGTAAAAGTTTTGACAGAAGTGATTAAGCGGCGACTTTAAACAGGAATGTCAAAGTAATGTTTTTTTTTTTCTCATTACTGGATTTTCTATACACGATCTTGTATTTTAGAACTGGACTGGTTTTTTCGTTTACATCTATTTTTTTTTCTATTTTTTGATTTTGTAATATTTTAGGCTAGAGGCTCCCTTTAGTTATTTCTTTTTTTAAAATATCTTTTTCTTTTTTTTATTAATTCTTATTATATCTTGCTTGGAAAAGGAGGGGGAAAGTGAGAGCAAAGAAACTTTGTAACACTGCCAACTAGAGGCTTGAAAATATTCTATTTCCCTGTGACCAGACAAAGCTGAGAAAGAAAGAACTGAGACTCTTTTTCAAGGACATTGCTATTTGATATGATAGAGGGAAGAGCATGGGAGAGTATTATTGCAGGTGCTCTTCTGTGTTTCTATCAACAGCTGGAGTCTTGTGTTGAAACCTAGGGGAAAAAAAGGTGATAAGTTTTTGGAGAAGAGAGCTATAATAAGAGCCTTGGATAATTAAACAAAGTGTAGTGTGCCCTTTTTACTTTTTCTAAGTTGTGCTATCCCTCCTCATCAGCTTTATTGTATTTCATTTTATCTTTTTTTTCCTTGTAATAACTATATGGGTTTTTGGCTTTGTTGGAGCTTGTCTTTGTTTTTCTTTTTCTCTTTGGAAGTCCAATCTCTACGTTTGTTTTTTATTTTAAAGGGAAAGCCTTAAAAGCCTTTTTTTTTCCTTTCCTGGTATTTTTGTTTTTTCATCTACCTTTCTGGTTTATTCTTATGCACTCTTTTCTATTTGAGACCTTTCAATTGGATTAAGGTGTTGAAGAACCTGAAGAATTTTTCCTTTTCCTTCCCCCTCCCCCTTTTTTTCTTAAGTCTTTTTCTTCATCTAACTACTGATTGGATTAAGGTATACAAGAACCTGAAGAAATTTTGTCCTCCTTTTTTTTATCATTATTATTGGGCTTCATTTTTCTACTATTTTTATTTTGAACTATAATTGGTTACTTCACAATTGGATTAAGGTTTAGAAGAACCTGAAGATTTTGAATTGCTTAAAATGAGTAGGAAATTTACAGCTTCTGGTTCTTCAACTTCTACTTCTTCCTCTCCACTATCTGGAGGACAATGTTCAATACAGACAATGTTAAAGCAAGAAAAAGAACAAGAAAAAGTGACTCTGCAGATGATTATGCAAGGAATTCAAAATATTCAAGCAAGATCAGAGAATATTGAAAAGAGAATAGAGCACATTGAACAAAGAACAGAGAACATTGAACAAAGAACAGAGAACATTGAACAAAGAACAGGGAAAACCGATGAAAAAGTGGAGAACATCCAACAAATGATGTTGAAGTATGATGAGAGATTCCAAAAAATTGAAGAAGAAGATAAGCAAAGAGACAAGAAGATTGGAGATATTGATAATAGATTAAGGGTGGTTGAACAAGATAAAAGTAGTATGTTGAGATGGGAGATGGATAGATCAGAATTCTATCTTAGATTCCAAAACGTAGAGGAAGAAAAAGGACAAAACGTAGCTGAGATAATGATAGAAATACTGGCTGAAGCTTTGGAAATAACTCAAGAGAAGATGATGGATGGAATAGATTAGGTTTATCGAGTTTTCACAAGATATGTGATGAGAAATAGCTTACCAAGAGAAGTTCACATTAGATTTACAAAGAAAGCCATTAAAACGCAAATATTGCAAGTGGCAAAAGAGAAAACATTGAAATATAAAGACAAGGAGATTGTGGTCTTGAAACAAATACCCAGAAGAGTGAGAGAGATGAGAAGAGAATACCGATTCCTGACTAAAATTCTACTTAAAAAAGAGGTGAATTATAGATGGCTGATTCCAGAAGGTTTAATGTTCACATGGCAAGAACAGAGACATAGAATTGACTCAATTGAGAAAGCGGAATTATTTTATACAGAATTTTTTGGAGGGAAAGAGGAAGAGGCAGAAAAAGAGATCTCACTAATTGAATTCCAAGAGGACTGCCAAATGGCCACTGAAAAAGAAGAAGGTGCAGTAGGTGGAAAGGTGGAAGCCAAAGAACAATGTGAATTAAGATCTCCGAGAGCTGCTAAACCTAACTATAAAATATAACCATGGAAGAGAAAAAATTGATTACAATTAATATAAATGGACTTAACTCAGCCGTTAAAAGAAGGAAAACCTTTCATAAATTAGAGAAATTAAAATTTGATATAATTTGTCTACAAGAAGTACATATTAAAAAACAATATGAACAATTGTTGGTACAGACAAAATTAGGGAAAATATTTACTTCCTTGACACAATGTAAGAAAAGAGGAGTGGTTTTATATATTAAAGAGACCACCCCAGCAAAATTGATTTATACCGATGATGATGGAAGAATACTAATGGTGGAAATAATGGACAATAATACAAAAACACTCCTGATTGCAATTTATGCTCCGAATGACAAACAAGAAGAATTCTACAAAAAATTACATATGAAAATAATCGAACTGGACTATGCTAATATAGTTATGATGGGAGATTTTAATGGAATTGTAGACAATAAATTGGACTATACAGCACAGAAAACAATAAAGCAAAACAGAAAGACTCTCTCTAAATCTTTTTTTAAAATGGTAGATGAAATAAACTTAAAAGATACATGGAGAGAAAGAAATGCTAAAACTAATCAATACACCTTCTATTCAAATAGACACTTATCATGGTCCAGAATAGATATGATATAGATGTCAACAGAATTAATAACTAATATTCAAGAAATAAATATTGAAACAAGTACTTGGGCAGATCACAATCCAATGACAATTAAATGGAAAGGACGAAAAAGAAGATCTAGATGGATGTTAAATAATACTATTTTAAAGGAAAAAGACTTCACACAGTGGATGGAGAAAGAATTGGCTTTTTTCTTTAGAGAAAACAAAAAAGAAGATACCTCAATTCAGAATGTATGGGATACAATGAAGGCATATGTTAGAGGCTTGATAATAGACTATACAAGGAAAACGAATACTATGAAAAGACTAGCCTCTAAGGCCTTAGAGGATGAGCATAAAAGACTTGAAAAAGAACTACAGAAAATGCCACAGAAAAAGGACATCAAGCTAAAAATGGATATAATTAAACATAAAATGGGTCAAATAGAAAAAGAAGAATTAGCACAGAAAATTAGAGGTGCTAAACAGAACTACTTTGAAGATGCAAACAAACCAGGTAGATGGTTAGCATACAAACTGAGAAAGGAGAAAGAATCAAGGAAAATATTGCAATTAATAGATGACCAAGGCCAAGTTTGCCATGGTAGTAAAGAAAAGAAGGAAATCATTCTAGACTTCTATGGGAAATTATATATGCAAGAGAATATTGATGAGTAAAGAGTTAAACAGTACTTAAAGAATGCTAATTTACCTCAGATACCTAAAGAGACTGAAAAAATGTTAGAAAGCAATATAACGATGATGGAGTTAACTGAAGCACTCAAGAAGCAAAATAATGGAAAGGCACCAGGCTCAGATGGACTTCCGGCAGAATTTTATAAAACATTACAAGAATCATTGAATCTTCCATTGCTAGAAGTTATGAATGAAGTTATGTTAAAGAAGAAGATACCTAAATCATGGTCAGAAGCCTATATTACACTTATTCCAAAAGAGGAGGCCGACCCATTACAAATTAAGAACTATAGACCCATTTCTCTACTAAATGCAGGTTATAAAATTTTTGCTTCAATATTGGCAGAAAGACTTAAAAAATATTTAAATAATTTTATCCATCCTGATCAAAATGGATTTCTGCCAAAGAGACAAATTAAAGACAATATGAGAGTAATCTTGGACACCTTGGAATACTACGAGGCACATCCTGAAAAACAAATGGCTCTGATATTTCTATATGCACAGAAGGCATTTGATAATGTGAATTGGCGATTCATGTTATTACTGTTGGAACAGATGGGTTTTGCTAGAAAATTTATTCAAGCAATAGAAGCTATATACTATAAGCAAACAGCAAAGGTAATGATAGAGGGAGAACTGACAGACTCTATCAATATAAGAAAAGGAACAAGACAAGGGTCCCCACTATCACCTTTGTTGTTTGTGTTAACTATGGAAGTGTTAAACAGAAATATTAGAGATGAAAAGAATATAAAAGGAATGAAAATCAAAAGGAAGAATTTAAGCTGCAAGCATTTGCAGATGATCTGGTTTTCATCTTAGAAGACCCTTTAGAAACAGCATCAAAATTGATAGAAAAGATAGAGACATATGGAAAGGTGGCTGGTTTGAAAATAAATAAAGATAAGACAAAGAATATGCTTTTAAGACAAAAGGAAGAACTGGCAGACCTATTGAAAATTCAGGTCACGAATAAGATCAAGTACTTGGGGATATATTTGACAGCAAGATGTAGTACATTAAAAGAGAATAATTATATCAAACTTAAACAGCAGATAGCGTCAGATCTGGCGAAATGGGAAAATTTACAACTGTCACTAATAGGGAGAATTTCAATAATCAAGATGAATATATTATCCAGAATTTTATATTTGTTTCAAACAATTCCAATTAGGCTTGGAAAAGATTACTTTGAATCTAAATAAAATTTTGTTGAAATATATATGGCAAGGTAAGAAAGCGAGAATAAAGTTAAAACTTTTGCAAGATGCTAGAATTAGAGGAGGATTTGGTTTGCCTAATTGGGAGTTGTACTATCAAGCTACAAATCTGATGTGGGTTAAGGAATGGATAACACTAAGAAATACTAGATTGTTGACATTAGAATGACATGATCTGTTGTTGGGGTGGCATGCTTTTTTATGGTATAAAGGAACTAAAACACAGGGGTATTTTAGAAGACATTATATATGGGAGTCTCTGTGGTTAAACTGGGAGAAGATTAAAAGATAATGTTATTTGAAAATTCCAGTCTGGTTATCGACTATTGAAGCATTTTCTTATCCTATAATATACAAAAAGGAACAAACAGTTAGATATGGTGAAATATTGAATGAAAAGGGTGAACTCAAATCTATACAAAAAATAGAGGAATAAGGTATGAAGATGAATTGGTTTTCATATGCGCAAATACATTCAAGGTATGATAAAGATTCTAAAATGGAAGGTTTCTATGATAAATTGACTGATTTAGATAAGATTTTGACAGGTACTGATGAAAAGGTGATTAAAAAACTGTATGGATATTTATTAGAAATTAAATTAGAAGAAGAACAAGTTAAAGAAACAATGATTGCTTGGGGGAAGAATTTTGGATATAGGATCGATTTAGAGAAATGGCAAAAATTGTGGTCTCAAAATTATAAAATGACAATGTCAACAGCATATAAAGAAAATTTGTATAAGATGTTTTACAGGTGGCATTTCCCCCCGACAAGAATGTTCAAGAATAAATCCGAAAAATGTTGGAAATGTCATCAGACACCTGGCTCATATTACCATATGTGGTGGATTTGTGTGGATGCTAAAAAATACTGGACTAAAATCCTCATGTGGTTGGGAAAAAATGACAAAAAAACATATAGACTTGAAACCAGAGATATTTTTATTGGGAATTTTACCTGAAATATATAGTAAAGACTTGAAATACCTGACTGTAAACGTGTTAACAGCGGCTAGGATTGTATTTGCTAAAAACTGGAAAAATGAGAAAATACCATCACAGGAGGAAATCATTAAGAAAATATTGGAATGTGCTGAAATGAGTAGTTTGACATTTGAAATTAGAGAACAAGAGGATAAACAATTTTATAAAATTTGGGATCTTTTCTATCAATGGTTAGATAATAAAATACAGTAATGAAATATGTAGACTTTTAGAAAATAATAAATATATAAAGATGTACTTCTTTCTTATTATATCCACAAAATGATTTTAGGATAGATTTGGGATGATAATATGAACTGTTATAAAATAAACTAGGTTAATTATGATTATCTTGTAAAACATGAATGAATAAAAGTATAGTCAAATGATTGATTAATAATGATACTAAGGTATTTAATTTTTGATTGAAAATATGAGATTATATGCAATGTAATTGTAATTGAAGACTACGAAATGGAAGCACAAAACAATTTGTAAACCAACCGGCACACTGTATGTACACATATGGAAGATAGCTTGATGTCTTTATGTTTTGTTTTGTTTATGTTTGTTTTTAAAAACCAATAAAAATTTAAAATAAAAAATAAACGTATGAACAGAGAGCATGGACAGATGATTTCTCCTATTTTTTTTTCCACAGGAAGAAAATATTCATCAATAGTTGTTGGGTTTTTTTTTTCTTTTTGCAGTGACACTAATCCTGCTATTTAAAAGAATCAAGGAGTTGCAGTTTGTTAGTAATCTTAACTATGTAATGAAGGGCAAGACATTCATATATGTTCACAATATGGTAGCCCTTCACACAAATACAGGCAGGTCTCGACTTACAACCACAAGTGGGACTAGAAATTCCATTGCTAAGTGAGATGAGTCATGTCAAATTTCATGACCTTTTTTGCTGTGCTATTATGGGAACCACTATAGTCGTTAAATAAACCACACGGTTGTTAAGCAAATCTAGCTTCCTCCATTGACTTTGCTTGTCAGAAGCCAGCTGGGAAAGTGACCCCAAGACCCTGCAACCGTCATAAATATATGCCAGTGGTCAAGCACCCAAAATTTTACCATGTGGCCATGGGGGTGCTATGACAGTTGCAAGTGGGAAAACCAGTTGTAAGTCACTTTTTTCAGTGCCATTTTAACTTTGAACTTTGGTCACTAAACAAATGGGCATAAGTCAAGGACTACCTGTATGTGCAAAAATGTCATAGCACTAGCAATAGCACCTGTACTTATATACTGCTTTTATAGTGCTTTACAGCCCTCTCTAAGTGGTTTACAGAGTCAGCATATTGCCCCCAACAATCTGGGTCCTCATTTTACCCACCTCGGAAGGATGGAAGGCTGAGTCAACCTTGAGCCTGGTGAGATTCAATCTGCCAAATTGCAGTAGGAGTAGCTTGCAGTACTGCACTCTAACCAGTGCGCCACTGAAGCTCCTTTATTCTTCACTGCTAAGAATTTCTCAACTTCTTCCAAAGACAAAGAAACTTTTTATCAAGTGGAATGAGTCCTTTAAAAATTGCAAGGAAATTTCTCTACCACCGTTCACTAATTCCTTTCTTATTCTAAAACCACCAACTTACTTTTTTCACAGCTTCACGGACTCTTCGGCCAGACATTGTCCTGGAAAACACACACACACACACACACAAAAGGAGTATCAGTTTCCATAGCCTTATAAACAGCGGTTGATTCTCAAAGAAGGTTGTTAGATTATTCTCTTTACGAAAAACTTAACAGATAATCATTAATGTTTCTGAATAACAGAATACCAAATCAGTTTCCTGTCTGCTCTGATGCAATAAAAAACTATGGAAACTAATCAAATAGTTGTGTCATTATTCACTTGCCACATTTTCTCTCTCTTTAAATTATGGCTTAAACATGCTATTCAGGACAGTTAATTTAAGAGGATGTTCATCAAAGGAAATGGTGGATTGCACCTTGGGCACCTTATATTGAATCAAGGATATTGTAATGTCAATCACTGGCTTTAATTTTGCCCTGTTAATTATATAGTACATGAGCAGAGTGTTGCCTGCTGCAGGCTTCTGCAATCTATTGCCTTTCAGATATATGTGGGTTTCAGTTCCCCAAATTTTCATCTATCACACCAATTTTGGCTGGTCTTGTCTGTCTTTCTATATTTCCCACTATCTGTCCTCTAGAACAGGGGTCGGCAACCTTTTGGACCTCAGGGACCACCAAACTCATAATTTTAAATCCCGCAGACCAGAGACCCTGGGAAAATCCCAAAAAAAGTCTACAGGAAAATTCCCCACCCCATTTTCCTACCGATCGATCATCTTCAGCTTTGCTGGCTGAGGAATTCTGGGAGTTGAAATCCACAAGTCTTAAAGTTGCCAAGGTTGGAGACCCTTGCTCTAGAACAAGGCTTTTCTCCTAAATAAACCTGCTTTCTTTTTCCAAGCTAACCATAAAACACAAAGTATATGCTTGAATTATATTATAAAAGACAAAATATAAATTCATACGTAAATTCTCCTGGAAGACCCACGAAGGCTGTAGATCCAATGGTAAACATCTGGATATCAACTATCTTGGGCTGCCAGGGGTAAGGCTTGGTAAGCTTAAGCAATTCAAGAGAAAAGAGGAAGATCAGCCTTTATATTAAATAATATCATCAACAATAAAACCACATTTACACTCCTTTGTCACTCAAGGGATTTTGTGAAAAATTAGAAGTGGTTGAGCAAAGTGAGCCCATGGAACTCTCAAACCAACCCCTAGAATTGATTCCTTACTGTTTTTCACCAGAACCCTTTAGAAATATGATACACAAATTGTTTGATAGATTGACTGCTTAGAGAAGACTGTACAGCAAGGGTCTTCAAACTTGACAGCTTTAAGACTTGTGGACTTCAACTCCCAGAATTCCTGAGCTAACATGACTGGAGGAGGAATTCTGGGAGTTGAAGTTCACAAGTCTTAAACTTGCCAAGTTTGAAGATCCCTGTTGTAAAGCATTGTGAAGCAGTATATAAGTCTAAGTGCTATTGCTGAATGAATGAATGAATGAATGAATGAATGAATGAATGAATGAATGAATCCTGATTTTGGCTTAACCTCAGGTAAAGGCAAATTGCTGGAAATGTCATATTTTAACTGAGAGATTCAAGGATGAGGCATAGATTGCAGTGGCCTAGAAATGATTGCATTAGTGAATCAATGAAAACTAGCCAAAACTATCCTGGCCATAACTGCCACTTGCCACTCAAAAAAGAGCTGCAAGTCTAGGAAGAGGTCCAAATAATTGTGTACCTGTTCACGGCAATGCCTCCATCCAAGGCTAAATATGGAACTATCTAAAGGACTATGAACCAGAAGTAGTCCCATCACTTCTCTGACATAGGGAAACCTGGTGACACAGTGATTAGAATGCAGTACTGCAGGCAAACTCTGCCCACAGCCTAGAGTTCAATCCTGACAAGGCTTGGTTTTCAAGGTTGACTCAGCTTTCCATCCTTCCAAAGTCAGTAAAATGAGAATCCAGATTGTTGGGAACAATATGTTGACATTGTAAACCATTCAGAGAATGCTGTAAAGCATTATGGAATGGTATATAACTCTAAGTGCTATTGCTGTTAGTATAGTCTGGAATGGAGATATAACAGGTGGATATCATCAATGCATTCCTGATAGTCCACCTGGAACTAAGAGATTACCTTTCTTCTTCCTTTACATACTGATCAGTAGGTACAGTATATCTAAATGAGACACTAAATTTGTGTGAGTTATCTCACATCAAGTTCTCAAAAATTGTAGTTAAAGTTCAGCAATTTTGGCAACCCCAAACATTTTTCTTTACACTACGTACTTTTCCCCCATATATCTGGGTTACCTACAATGGATTTGTGTTCCATTCCATCCTTCCCCCTACCATATTGGTTTGGTCTTTGATGGTAAAATCAAATAAATAAATAAATTTAAAAATACCCTAAGGATAAGAAGTCCAACAATTTCCCACCAAGACTTGAAGATAAAGATGAAAGATAAAAATGGGATTGGCATCAGATTTCCAATCCCCTGCAATGGTTTGCTATGTGCCTCCCATGATATGTCTCTCTGGCCATCACTACATCAGTCTTTTCCTACTATCCAGCCTTCAGATCAAGCCACCTCCTATCCCTGCCATCTGGCCTACAGCTATTCCTGTTTAATGAGCCATGCCTCAGGTTCTCTGACCTCCTTCCCTTCCAAGTTCCCTGGTGCCCAGAATCCTCACCTCAAAAAAAAAAAGTTGGGGGTGGGGAGGGAATGTGGCATAAAGTGTATCATCAAAGTGAACCTATTAAATAGTAGGGAATATTGCAGCCTTTTTATGATCTTTCCCAAAACAATACATCCAAGCAAGGGCTGCACTTCTTGCTGCTGCTGTATAATGAATATAATCTGTGAGGTAATAATTAGTTTAAACCCGAGAGGCTCGCAATAACCTCAGAAAGACAAGCAGCAAGGGAAAGCTCTTAATAGCCTTAATTGAACTTCTGGGCATTCAGCCAAGAGCATTTCACACCTCATAAAAATGTTGCAAGCTAGATAAACAATCTATTCAGTGCTTGCGAGGGAGGGCCATTGAGAAAATCAGATAACATAGCCTCCAAGGGGATTAATTCCCAAATAATAAGAATCATGTAACTCACCAGAAACACCACTAAGACTCCAAGATCCCTCTCAAAGTCACTGCCATTAAGCCTGGTTTCACGCAGTCTTTTATTTAAGTATTAAATGCACAAAATAATAAACAACTTTTTGGTATATATCTTTTTTTTTAAAGATAATTAGGGCAAAGAAGCAACATCGATTTGGCCACACTTACCCAGCCATGCCAACCCAGACCACCCAGAGAGCTCCTTGCTGAAAAAATTGAAGCCCACCCCTGGTTTAAATAATGAGTTTGCTTCTCCTAGTAAGACCTAATGGTTCATACCTCTCCTATAGGAAGTAGAATAGGCTTAGGTTTGTGGCATTCTATCGATTCATTGGATGGACGAACAAGGAAAGTATCACGGATAGAATCCCAGAATGGGTCGCCTTCAGTTGTGCCTGTTCAAAAAAGTATGTAATAGTAGAATGTTTTCCATCATGTTAAAATACGTTATTGAATTAATATGAAATATTTAATAACATCTATTTGCTTTAAAACAAATGCCATTAAAGAAGAACCAGTTTGGTGCAGGAGTTTTTAAAAAAAGGAAGCTGGGAAATTGTGAGTTATAGACCTTCATAGGATGAGTTGGACCAGTCATCTCTCTCATCCCTAGGAAGAAGATGATGGAAAACCACTTCTGAAAATGTTGGTTTAAAAAAAACCCACAGGAATTTGTCCAGGTAGTTGCCAGGAACCAAGACTACCATAAAAGTACATATTTTGTGTGCTTTTATTTTGTTATGACAAAAAAAAAAAAAAGACAGTGTAATTTATACAACCTATAATTGTCAAGAGACATTTAACAGATTTCTAGTTTCAGTACTTTTGCCTTTTAATAAACAAACACGAAACTCGTCTAAAAACATTTACAAGTATAAATCATTTTTGATTGATGGTGAGGACTGATTGCAAAGTTAAGGATGCCTGATATTTACAGCAATCTATTATTTTTAAGAAGTTGCAGACGTGAGAAAGATTATGAGAGCCTAGGAAAGGAACAAAACCAGGGAATAGATTTCTGATCAACAGATAATGAGCAAGATAGATGGCAGTTTATCTCATAAATAGTAAACTAGCCCAGATAGCAAGAAATCTGGGGGAAAGTGCTATAGATCATTCAAAAATTCTTAATAACAACCTTATGAACAAGGATTGGAAATTTCTCTTTTAATTTCCAAGAATTTTTAATGATGCCCAGATTAGCATTAAATATGCTTCATTGTAACCTGTATAAGTTTTGCTATTTTGATCTTACCTAGCTCAATAGGGCTTGGCCTGATGATTAATTAATGAAATACTCAAGTAACAATGCAGAAATACAGTGTAGGCAGTAATAACATTCAGATAACTTTGTTTTCAATAACTTTGCTGGTATGCCAAACCCATGGGCTACTGTACCATTTTATAAGAATGGACCACTTTTAATATTATGTATTAATTACATCTTTAAACCATATATTCACAGATTATTTTATCTCATTTCATTTCATTTTGTTGATGACATTACTACCTTGTGTCCTTTGCGCAGTGGTGATAGAAAGCTTGGAAACTAACTACCCTACTGAACAGTGTGTCATTGCCTGGTGAAACTAGAGAAAGAAAGCAGCAGGTCTTGTTCTACCTGGAAGTAAATTGGATAGTGCTACTGATATGTTGGGAATAGTGGTGGGATTCAAATTTTTTTACTACCTGTTCTGTGGGTGTGGCTTGGTGGGCATGGCAGGGGAAGGATACTATAAAATCTTTATTCCCTCCCCACCCCATTAACCTATTTTCCAGCTCCGTTCTCCTGTGCAGGGCAACAAAAGAAGACCCAACCGATCAGCTGGGACTCGGGAGGCAAAGAATAGTTGGAGACAGGGCCAGTCAGAGGTAGTGTTTGCCGGTTCTCTGAATTACTAAAAAATCCCCCTAGCAGTTTTCCAGAACTGGTCAGAACCCGCTGAATACTACTTCTGGTTAGGAAGTACCCCTTCTGACCCTATCTTTGCCCGCAATGCCCTCTCTTATCTGACTTTTCCCCAAGCAGCATCTATTCGCCCTGTATCCCAAGGTCTTTCCCACATACAAAAGTCCATGATGTAGAAATTTCAAGAACAAAACGATTTTAAATATTTGAATACAAGTTCATAATTTTTTCAAAATCTATTGCTTCATATTTCAGGGTCAAGGCAGAATACAAACTTTTTTTTAAAAAAAAAAGATTTACCTTTATTTTTGGTCAACTCAAGGTATACCTAATGCTCTTATTTTCCCCACAATAACAAACTTGTGAGATCCATTGAGAGTGTAACTGGTCCAAAGTCAACCTTGGTTTTTGGGAGGACTACAACTCATAGTCTCCTCATTTCTACCCAGCATTGTAGCCACTCTGCCAAGCTGTCTCTCCAAATTTGTCTTCCAGTCTCAGATGTTCTGCACTGCAGAACATGGGGGCTGAGAATTTGAGAATCTGCAGTCCCATCACATATGCAGACTAGTAGCTTGCTGTGTAACAGAAAGAGTAATAGTAATAAATAAAATCTGTCGATATTTCTTTCCACTTGCCTTGAGTAAAATTGAACATTCCTGGTCCATCTATGGTACCTGCAGCAAAGCTGTATCCCAACGCTGCTTTACATGTTTTAACCTTTGGAAAAACAATGTAAAGAGTTAAGGTCTGCATTGTAAATACTTCTATATTGTTACCATCTGCCTGGAACATCATCTCCATGGAGGTACACTACCGTGTGTGTAGAGTTAAGCTGAACAGTGACGTTACTCATGTCCACCCATCGATGAACTGAACTGATGGGACCATCAATCTCTTTTGAGGCCTTCGTATATATTTCCTGAAATACAAATGAAAACCAATCATCACTCAAATCTGGTTATAATTTTATTACCATATTTGAGTACATATATATTGTTCAAGTGTGGATCTGTATGTGTGAATATGTGGTAGGGAAGTTCTGGACTTCTGAACTGCATGTCAGGATTTCGGCAGTTAACCCAATGAAATCATGAGTCTCGAGCCAAATTTCCAAGACTTCAAGAGGATTTATTGGGAGTTAACATGTCCGGCACTTCCTTTGTGTAACCGACTCTGAGACACATAATTCATTGTCACCCTTGACCCTGGTTTTCCCCCACCCCCTGGGTATATCATAATTCATATTCTCCAATGAGACACGTCCATAGCCAAGAGTCATCAATCGTGTTCACCGGTTAGATATTTGCGCAGCAGAAACTTCAGTCACCAAGTTACTCTCTTTGAAAAACTATGTATGGAATGCACTTTCAATTTCCAAGCTGCCGCACTGCTCTTTCAAACCCCTTTGCCCCCTCCCTTTCTGTTGGCAACTCTAAAGAGACCCTAGAAATATTTTATGAATTGACACTGCAGCTCCCAGGGACCCTCATCATTAGACATGCAGGCAGAAGCTACTATGATTTGCAGTTCAACAACAGGCATCATTTCGTCAACAAATCTAGCAGGCAGAAGGGACACAAAATCCTGAGGTAGAAATAGCCGCAGCCAAGGTCTTACCCTGACAGAAGGGTAAAACTCTTCATCACAGGAAAAGTATTTCGTTTTTCCACAATATAACTCATACACCCATGGTTTCTTACTAGTTAGGAAGTAAGAACTCTAAGCAGATAAGATAAGGTTAGAAAAAAGCTATGGCATGTGTCAACTTCCTCCTACCCCCAATGGGTAGTTTAATTGGAGGTATGGGAGTTGAAGAAGTAACAAAAGAATAGTCTGTACCCATCCTGAATCTTACATTCGAACAAAATTGAGATCTAAAGCTTCATAGGAAAAGGAGGCAAAGTTAATGCAGAGGCCTAAAGACAGTATCTGTCAGGTGCCATACAGCAATGAAACTTTACATTGAACATGACATTATCTATCTATCTATCTATCTATCTATCTATCTATCTATCTATCTAT